GGATGTCCACTGTGAGACTCATTTTAATTAGACTTTGGGATGTGGGAAAGGGAGAAATCTGTGTAATCTATAGACCCACACCATCAAGGTGGACCAAACAGAAACCACTATAAATGTGAGGGCACAGTTACTATAAATGTGAGGGCACCCTCCTAGGTAACTAAATCTATAACCAATGGAATTGAGGTGGCCCTAACACTTCTTGTGCGCCAACAGACCCAGATGTGAAATGCCATCTATCAAAATAGATTAGCCCTAGACTACTTATTGGCTACAGAAGGCCAAGGGGTATGTGAGAAGTTTAATTTTACTAACTGCTGCATACAAGTAGATGACAAGAATCTGGCAGTAGAAGACCTTGTAAAAATGCAGACAGTTGCCCATGTCCTTGTGCAAACCTGGAATGGGTGGAACCCACAGAGCCTATGGGGAGGGTTCCTTTAAAAGGTTCAAATCCCTCGTAGGTGGGGTCCTGTTTTATTTGGGATTTACTTAATCATTCCATGCCTCCTCCCACTAGCAATCAGGGCCATGTGAGCTGCCGTTAAAACAATAGTCAATCAAAAATGGTACCAACAATCAAAATCAATACCAAAATACCATTCTTTACTCAACATTTACATGATGCCCCTGGGAAAAACTTCCCAAAGGGCATCAAAGGGGCAAATGAACAGGAAAAGGTAGAAGCATTAATTGTCTCTTCCCTGATGGTTCTAATCAGGTTACTGAATGGGACCAATCTTCCCCACTCAGGAGACAAGCTAGAATGTTAATCAGGTCACCAGAATGGGACCAATCCCCCTGGTTTCCCTCCTGTCCTCAAACAGGTCAGCACCCTAGCCCCTCCCCGACTCTGACCCCATATAAGCCTGTGTTGTCCTCCATTGGGTGCTCAGAATCTGGAGAAGCTAGCTCCTCTGAACCAGTTGGCTTAACAAAGTCTGGAATTCTGCTTAATCTCTCTGAGTGGCCTCTGTTTCTCTGACAATGGGTCAAGAGCTGGCCCGGATCCAGAGCTGCTGTGGCATTCTTGGGCTCAGAGTTTCTGTGACACCCTCAGGCCTAGAGGTGGTGTGATACTTATGGGCCTAAGGCTATTGTAACTCTCTCGAATCTAAAAACTGCTGTAACACAACAACAACTTATAAATCTGAATATGGTCTTGACAGATGGTCTTTAGCATTTACAATGAGACAACATTATAGAAATGAGAAGAAAAATACTTCCACACCTATGTAAGGAAATCATGAGTTGCATAATTTTTTACAGTGATTTTTTTCCCCCCTCTACTATTTAACCCATTGCAGTGGGTTCTTAACTGGGGGTGACTTTGCCCTCCCTCACCACTTCCCTCTCTAGGGACATTTGGCAATATCTGGAAATGTTTATGGTTGTTATAATTGATATTTTATGTTCAGAGGAAAGGAAATGATGCTATATATCCTGCAATATACAGGACATGCTCTTCTACAGTATATAATTCCTATACCAAAATGTCAATGGTACCAAGGTTGAAAAATTCTGTATTATAGTGATGACTCAGAAAGAATGAATTTGAGTTTATTACCATAAATATATTTTAATGTATTCAATATAACATTATATTGGGTATAATAGAACTTTATATAAAACATGAAAAAATATTGTAACACAAAAGTTATTTCTTTAACTAAATTAAATGTAAAAGGACAGTGGAAACAAATAACGTTTCGGATGCACAGAATCAGACAGAAAAAGTTTGACTTTGTAAATTTCACAAAAAATATGCATTTAAATAAAGATGGAAATGTCCATTTTATCATAATAATTGTTGTTGTTGTTATTGTTGTTAAGTGCTCACTCATAATGACTCTGTATAGGGTTTCCAAGGAGAGGCTGGTGAGTTTGAATCACAAGCTTTCAGTTCAAATCGACTTTGAGGTGTAGTTCCTATCCTATAGTGCCAAACCAAGACTCCTCATAATAATTGGGCCATTCCAAATAGGAGAGCATGTATAGAATGCAGTGGTAGAATTCTTGTATTCTATGTGGGAAACCTGGGTTTGGTTCCTGGACAGTGCATGTAAATTATCAGTTTTACATTCAACAAATCATACACTTCATTTCATGTCAATGATTGCGATCCCTTCCATGTAACAAAAGTTGTTCCTGTAAATCAGATGCAGCTACCACCTCTGTCACTGAAGATTTGCATGTTACTAATATGCTGCACAGACTCCTGGTGTGGTGCTGCGGGATCAGTACTGGACTTCGAATCACAAGGTCAGCAGTTCAAACCTACCATCTGTTCCTCGGAAATCCTATACATGGTCATGAAGAGTCGGAACCAACTCAAAGACACTTAACAACAACAATATGCTGGACAAGTTTCAGCAGAGCTTCCAGACTAAGATGGGCTAAGAAGAAATACCTAGTGATTTACTGCTGAAAATCAGCCAGTGAAAATCTATGAATCAGAAAGCTCTGATGAGCACTCATCTTGGCATGGCACAGAACTAGATAGCGCTTTGTTCCGTTGTGCATGGAATGGTCATAAATTAGGAGCAGACCGGACAACAGGAATCAGCAATAACATCAAAGCCATTACAAAGATGATTTCTTGATTATTTAAATACTTTCTATCAATACCATTGTGCAAAAAATGCCTGGCATTTCTAAATGGTAAATTTAAATATTTATAATGTCTTTACCAATTAAAATAAAACCTTTACCAAGAGATCATATCAAATAGTTTATTAATGGGTAATTAATATTGACTTTTAATTGAACTTATTTTTGAATATCTAATTTATAATGGTTTGCCATTCTTTGGATCTCTTAATTGCTCTAGAGTTTGTTGAAAATAACTGCTAAGAAAATTGAATGCACTAAGAGAAATAAATCTATTTGTTGAAATGGAATCCCTAGGTTGTACAGTTAACATGTTCAGCAACTCAAAAAGAAGATGTGGGTTTGAGTCTCATCTAGAGGCTCTTTGAAAGAAATGGTTGATGATATACTTGAAGCCATGGAAACCTTTATAGAGAACACAGATGGGATCACCATGAGTTTGAATCAACTTGATGGCAACTAGTATTGTTTAAAAAAGTTACCGGGAGGGGCAATTTACAAGAAGGGGGAGGTTGGTAGAAAAATGATGAAGATAGGTGAAGATACAGGGAGGTATGCAGGATTAAAGGGGATAGAGGAAATAGTGATATATGCACAACCTTGGAACAACAGTGTTATGGATATATATATGAGTTTGAAAGAGGATATTTCATGGGTAACTACAGAGAGGAAATGGAACAACTTTTTGTTACATGGAAGGGATTGCAATCATTGAGATGAAACAAAGTGTATGATTTGTTGAATGTAAAACTGATGATCTTGTCTATAAACCTTCACTCAATTCACAATAAAAAAAAATTTAAAAAGAGACTCACAGTGAAACAGAAATTAAAAGTCCATTTACTCATACATCAGGACTAGAGCTATTCCCATTTTTAGAAATGGATGTGAAAGTAGCTCGTTCTTGTTGAATCCATAACTCTTTTCATTTCTAATTAATAAAAAGACCAAGAAATGTAGCTTATAATTTCTAAGCACTGAATGGCATTTTACATAGTGTAGAACAGAATCCTGTGCTAGGCAATGTCTTTAGTTTCTTGGTGTCTGATCCAAGGATTTACTCGTTGCACCAGAATAAACATCAGTGTAATTGTTTAACAAGTTTAAATTCTGAACAACTGGGTATAAATATAAATGTCAACTTTTTCCAAGTTTCTAAGAGAGGGACTATTTAAGGGTAAAGGGAGAAGACTCACAGTAGTGCTACCTGTAATGTTCTAGTTTTATGTCGAGTGTCTACCACCTTTTGTGCTAGCATTGAACAAAACTGGTTACCTTAATTTGTCTAGTAGAATGTATCTATACATTCTTAATGAAGATTATTTGATGAGGAATACCATGAAGTCATTAAGGTAAAACAGCAGGCTGTGCCAGTGAAAATGTAGAGAAGTCTTAGTCAGTTGATTTTTATCTGTTTTAAACTATAAGATTATGCTAAAATGAATAGGAACAGAAAGATGAATAAGGAAGTTACAACAGACATTTATCAGCAATGACAGATCTTTGATGAGTTGACAGCACCGTCTTTGTCCACAATAAGCAATACAATTCATATATGACGTGAAAGAAAGTCTGCCTTCATCATGTTTAAGGGAAGAGTTGGCAGTTTACATATATTTTTATCTTGAAACTAACAGTAAACATGACAACACATACTAAATACAATTTTCTGGATATCCACACATAACCTGCATTCATACATTAAGTGTTGCATTAGATATTTGTTTTTGATTTAATCCAGTCCCGGTAACGAGTCACTCTGGTATACAGTCCAGGTTTGTTTGGTTTACCACAGTCTATTCCCCAGCTTACTATTCCAATAAGATACCAGGTGTTTGTCTCATGTGCAATAACTAGAGGTCCTCCAGAATCACCCTGGAAAAGAAAAAAAAAATCAGTGTAACAAAGGGGTATCAGTGATGAAAGTTAACCAGTTGAAAGTCTAATACATTAATATTTTATAATCAAATATGCATCAATAATATTGATTGATTTACCATTAACAATACTTACAACTTACTCTTCAAGAAAGACCTCATCTGGAAGGTAGTGTGAATAAAGTCAACTTTTCAGTTTTATTTTTATAAAAGTTTTACTTTTGCTATTTATAAATAATAATCACAATCTGAATTTATGCCCAGACAGTCAATTCTTATCTAAGTGACAACTCAATTTAAAACCTCACCTTCTCCATGAAGCTTCTATGTTAAATAGAAAAAAATTCTCTTGTTTGAATTTGAATTACCCCTTTTTACACCACTCACACCAGTGGACAGCAAGGAGTCCTGGATTCAGTATCCTGTGCAGCAATAGGCTTTAGAGGAGAAAGATATGCAAAACGCAGTCTAAACAAATATGTCCCATTTATCACTGAAAGGATTGCACTGCCAAACAGAAGTAGAATACCTAGCTCTAATATATTGGTTTAAGGCTTGAAAATCATTATAATTGCCTGAAGTTTACACAAACAGTTTTAAAAATTATCGTTTAGCAATGGACCTGTTAATTAAAAAGAAATATTATGTAGAAGTATAATATGGACACTTTCATAAGAGAAAGTGTGCTGCTTGGGTTAGGGATTGAGGCCTAAATTCCGTGCATTTAGTTCACTCCCCTTCTCTTTCTCTACTTCTTAGTAGCCGCTACTGTTCTGTGGACAGGGTAAAAACCCTAGCTTATACCCAAAGAACTCATCCTCAGCTCACTTAGACCACATCTTAATTTGTTGTTGTAGTTAGGTGTCATCAGGTTGGTTCTGACTCATGCTGACTCTATGCACAATAGCACGAAACACTGCCTGGTCCTGTGCCATCCTCACAATAGTTGAGCCAACTGTGCCAATCCATCTCATAGGGGGTTTCCTCCTTTTTGTTGGCCCTCCACTTTGCCAACCATGATGTCCTTCTCCGTGGACTGGTTCCTTGTGATAGCATGTCCAAAGCATGAGAGATGAAGTCTCACCATTATGACTTTGAGGGGCATTCGGGCTGTACTTCTTCCAACACAAATTTGTTTGTTTATCTGACAGATGATGGTACTTTTAATATTCTTCTCCAGCACCATAACTCAAATGCATCAATTCTTCTAAGCTCTTCTTTGTTCATTGTCCAACATTCACATGCATATGAGGTTATTGAAAATATCGTGGCTAGAATCAGGTGCACTTTAGCCCTCAAACAGATATTTTAACTCTCGAACACTTTAAAGAGATCTTGTGCAGCAGATTTGCCTAATGCAATATAACATATAATATTTTGACTGCTGCTTCTATGAGTGTTGATTGTGGATCCAAGCAAAATGACACTTTCAATCTTTTCTCCATATATCATGATGTTATGGATTAATCCAATTATGAGGATTTTTGTTTTGTTTGTAATGAGGTGCAATCCGTACTGAAGGCTGTAGCTTTGATTTAATCAGTAACTATTTAAGACATTTTCACTTCCAATAAGCAAGGGTGTATCATTTAAATATCACAGGTTGTTAATGAATCTTCTTCCAATCCTTATACCACATTCTTCTTTATATAATCCAGCTTCTTGGATTATTTTCTCAGCATAGAAATTAAATAAGTATAGTGAAAAAATACAATACTGACACACACCTTTTCTAATTTTAAATCATTCAGTGTCCCCTTTGTTTGAACAACTGCTTCTTGGTGTATGTACAGGTTCCTCATGAGCACAGTTAAGTGTTCTAGAGTATCCACTCATCGTACTGTTATCAGTTATTCATACTTTGTCATGATCCACACAACCACAAACCTTTGAATAGCTAATAAAATACCTTTCTGATATTCTCTTCTTTCAGTCAAGATCCATCTGACACCAGCAAGGATATCCCTCATTATATGTCCTCTTCTGAATCAAGCTTGAATTTCTTACAGTTCTATGTGAGTACTGTTGCAGCCATTTTCAAATTAACGGCAGCAAAATTGTACTTACATGCTATTGCAATGTATTGATTTCTTCCAATCAGTTGACGGTAGCTAGTTATCTTCCAAGTTTCTTGTCATAGATGAGTAAGTGCTTCCATTGCTGCATCACTTTGTTGAAAGATTTAAATTTGTACTCCATCTATTCCTGGAGACTCATTTTTTGTGAATGCTTTCAGTGCAGCTTGGGCTTCTTCCTTCAAGACTATTGGCTCTTGATCATATACTTCTTCTTAAAATGGTTGAACATTGTTTCTTTTTCTAATAGTAACTCTGTGTATTTCTTATATCTTCTTTTGATGCTTTCTACATAATTCAATATTTTTTACATAGCATCTTCCAGTATTGCAAGACAAGGCTTTAATTTTTTTGCAGTTTTCTCCCTTGAGAAATGCTGAGTGTATTCTTCCCTTTTGGTTTTCTAACTCCAGATTTTTGCACATTTCATTGTTCATTAATACATGACTTTGTCTTCTCAAGCTGCCCTTTGAAATTTCCTGTTCAACTCTTACTTCATCATTTCTTCCATTTTCTTTAGAATCGCTATGCTGGAGAAAAAGTTTCAAAGTACCTTGTGACATTCATTTTGGCTTTTTCCTTTTTTCATATATTTTAAATATCCTTTTTATCTCTTCCTAATGATTTTTTTTTCCTCATAAAGTTTTTTTTTTCTTAAATGTTTTGTTGTGAATTATGTGACAGTTTACATAGGAAAACATTAGTTTTACATTCATTCTATCGTATATCATCTCATTGCCATGGTTATAATCCCCTCCATGCAATCCTTCCCT